TTTTTCCCCATCCTTTTGTGTTACCTAATTGTGAATATTTTGTTTAAGGAGACTCTGGTCTGTAAGAAGTACATTTCTGACATTTCTGGTTTGAATGAAGTAAAAAATACAGAAACCATAAACTGGAAAGTTTAGGGAAGGGATACAATTAGAGCCTGAATTGAAGAGGGAATTTTATACTGAATTTGACATATTGTACATGCTGGTGGATATTTGTCCTGTCAGTAGTTGTAAATGTGTATCTGAATTTCAGGTCATGGTCATAACTAAAACTTTTTCATTTTAAAGTAGTACTATTAACACAGTATCTTTGTGTTTATTGTTTCTTTTGCCACATTTGTTTCTAAGTGCTCAAGACTTATGCCTTATTCTGTGCTCAGAGATCACTCTTGGTGGGGCTCCAGAAACTGTTCAGTTTACCAGGGATTGAATTCAGGTGAATAGCTGGCAAGGCAAGCACTATGCACACTCTCTCACCATACACATATCTCTCTGACTCCTTAACATAGCATCTTAGAATATAAGAAAATTATAGCAGAATGTTTGCATTTTCATTATTGGCTAGGTGAACATGGCTAAACTAAACTAAAAATACAACATTTCTCTGCTCATTCTTACATAATAAACTTATAATGTGTATAATTAAATCATAACAAAATGATAATATTGATAGTGATGTTACCAGCAAAAAAGTATATAGCAACATATGAGAATACTATCATTTTAAAATTAGATTTGATAAACAAGAATAAAAAAGCAGTCATGTGTGTATGTAAGAGAGCTAGAGGAATTTAGGTATTTTGTGATACACATTAAGTTCTACTCAATTTTCAAGTATTTTTAAAGAAATAGATTTTCTGATTTTTTTAACTCTGTATGATTTCAAATAAAAACATTTTTTATGGCATCACGACCATAAAGAGATAGTTCTTTATTTATAGAACTATTTAGAGAGCTAAGAGAACAAGAAAAGCAAGAATGAAAGGATTAAATGTAGTGCCAGCATAATTCCTGAAATTGGAAATAAAAAAAGTATGGTGAGAGAAGATTTAGTTCCCCTTGAACAAGAGGGTTGCAGGAAAGGAATTTGAAAAGACTGAGTTTGATGAGAAACTAAACTCACCTCATATATTACATTTAGTACTACTTAGATATATATTTCTGCTGTATCTTCTTTAAAGTATTTAAACATTATTAACTCCGTTATTCATGCTCAAAACTTTTTAAGCATCCTAAAATATAGTGTATGCTAAGAATAAGAGGTAATTTTTTTAAAGCTGTTGACACTAGATTTCAATGCCCAGTTGTTAGCAACTTTCTAAGAACTGAATGTTTGAAAGTATTCTAACAGTGGAAAGAGAGGAACAGAGGGAAAAGTCATTGTAGTGACATATTTGAAACCCCAGAAATCTGTTTTAGTTGATATTACTGGAAAATAAAAATGCAGAGTGATTTAGGAGATGATTAGATTCAGTTCCTTCACTTCTTGTTTCTCTCATATTGTGATTCTTTCCATTGTCCTTAGGGGTTTGCTCTCAAATAAGCTTTCTCTTATCTGCAAACTGCACCAGTAAAGCTTTACGGCCTAAGTCAGTCAATTCTATACTGAAATACAGCCTCCAAGGAAGGGATGAGAAAATGAAAAAGAAGACTAAATTACAGCTATGAGCACATTTGTTAAATTCATTGAACAATCAGGAAGAAGTACTACTTTAACAGTAAGTGATTTTTGAACAAAAAGTAACCAAATTCATAGTCATTTACACATTGAAGTGCTATTAGTCATCATGGGAAAGAGCATGACAGCAGTTTTTATGTGTTTTTTATGTGTTAGTAATCTTTTGATGGACAAAAATAAACTATTCTACAAAAACTGCATCACAGAAATCATTCAGCATATTTGGATATCTGAAAAATAATATCTACTCAAAACTAAGAACTCAAGGAAAACAGGTTATTCCCAAAGTGAACTTAAATTAAATTTTCAGTCACCTGTTAAAATCTCTAGCTAGCAGTTTCTAGAGCCACATTAGAAAAGAAGATAATGTACATATTAATCATGAATTTCTCCATCTCATTCGGAAATGGTATATTATTTTTGTGATTTAAAATCTATATTTTAACAATTTATATAATAAATTAATCATTAATAAAGAATGAATTAGGTTAGTATTTTTTATTCCATTAATAATGACAAATACAAAAACAAAGGAAGTTTCAGCAATATACTGAAAATGCAAGATAAATTGAGGACTATTAAAGAGAAGGCACAGGTAGATCTGAATTTTAGGTATAAACCTGGATGTAACATTATATAAACTTCCAAATTCTACCATGTCATGAATCTTATATTTCAAAACTAAAAAAATTAGGATAGGATTCATAAAATAAATGCATTTCATGATATAACTGTTGGAGATGCTACTGGTTCTGTTGTTGAAGGTATGGAAAAAACATCATTAAACAAAATGCTTAATTTTAAGATCAGCCTCAGTCCTATTTTAATTGTACAAGAAATCTAAGATATGGCTTTAGAATATAAAAGAAAATGGTATGCTAAGTTAGAAGTAGATAAATGAGAGGTACAAGATATCCAAGCAAGAACAACCTAAATCTCAGCCTTTGCAATTTGGGGGGCACAAACCTATAAGAAAACCAGAAAGTTCTCTCACATGTGTAATTTCTAGATGAAGAGCATTGTTTTCCATGAATAACTCCTAATCAATACACTAATTTGGCCATAAACTATGGCTCTTAAATTTTCCACAGTAGGACATTATATCTTTTATTTTATAGCATTGGTTGTATAAGTTAGCTAAAAAGATTGGCTATAATTTCTATACTCTAATTTCTGGCAATATGACCATGTTACTTAGGGAACTTTGATATCAGTCATCTTACCTATCTATCTTAGAAGGCCATTAAGGTAAATTATAGTGCTTTATTCAGTGCTGAGCACATACATGATATATACAATATTTAATATTCTATGTGATTAATTGTATTCATTTAATCATATTTGATAAAGCTGAGAATTAGACCACAGAAACAGCCAATAGCCTTCTTTCAATTTTGTGAATTACATGCATTTCTCTTTTTCAAAGAATACACATTTTCATCTTCTTCCCCTTGCTAATTCCTTCTCAAACTTTAGATACTAGCTGTTCCTTCTGCAATGATGAGGCGTAACCTGACTGGTGCTTCCAGTCCCAAACTTTAATATAACTCAGGGTCATCATGTAAAAGATACCACATTTATCATTCTCTTATATCCTAATCACAAGGTGTGTGTATGTATATGCATAATTCTCCTCAGATATGCTCATAATTTTCTACCACCAAGAGCACAGAGACCATGTCTATTTTATTGGTCAGATACAGCTTTCAAATATAATTTCTGGGGCATATCATTCTATATATATAATGAATAACTGTGTAATATATAACATATGAGTACTGTCAAATTTATGATAAAGGGAGTTCTGATTAGTAAACTAAATTATCAAATTATAGACTATCTCACTACTTTTTAGTTTGCATTTAATAAAAATATTGTCTTTTTTGGAAAACAATAGGGGCATTCCTCAAAATATTAGAAATTGAGCTTCCATACGATCCATCAATACAACTTCTGGGAATATATCTTGGGGGGCCCAAAAAAATACAGCAGAAATGCCATCTGCATTTTTATGTTCATGGCAGCTCTATTCACAATAGCCAGAATCTGGAAACAACCCAAGTCTCCAAGAGCAGGTGATTGGTTAAAGGAAGGAAATGATATATCTACACAATGGAATACTACAAAGCTGTTAGGAAAAACTGAAGTTATAAAATTCACTTACAAATGGATGAACATGAAGAGTATCAAGCTGAATGAAATGAGTCAGAAGGGAGAGAACAAACAATTTTGTTAAAGAATACTTAGGAAGCTTTTATATGATGCACAGGAAAAAGTCTCCACTGAGTTTCTTAGTAAGGGAGTTATTTTAAAGTAATCACCTGAGCTTCCATGACAGTCTTACATGAATATGAGCTTTGTTTCATTATCAAGAGTCTTCAAGCAAAGCTATTTTTTCTGACACACCCAGGTAATGTGCAGCACTTGTTGCTACTAACAAGAACAAATTATAAACTTTTCCTTGTTTGACTTGCCACCATAAATCAAGTTTGAAAATAACAGAAATGCCAAAATGTATATGGAGATTTATTCTGGACATGATTCATTAGGAATACATAAGAACATGTATTTAAAAGTTTATTCTGAAAGTAGAAAATACAGACTAAATTAATAAAACTGCTCCTTGTTTACCCTTAAATAAATGTTTTCATTTGCAAATGACATAGTAGACATAAATGAAACACTACTTTGTGATCTAATTAAAATATATAATTTTGAGAGGCAAAACTATCTAGCTTATTAGTATTAATTTAATTCTGTTGGTGGTAAAAATATTTTTGGCTTAAAAAAAGCATTTGCCATTTGATTTCATTAGGGAGATTAGTAAAAGTAATTCTCTATGATAAAAACAATTACACTGAAAGCAAAGTTAAAATATAATTATAATAAAAATTCTAAAAAATAAATGCCATTCCCTTTAAAATACATTTACAGGAAATGAAAGCAGAAACAAAGTTTGCAATCAGCTCTTTATATAAGTATATTTATACATCTGTCTGCATTTTTCAAATCCAAACACTGACAATTATTCAATAGTAACTAGTTTGTGCAAATGTAAAGATTCACAGTAACATATGAAATTGTATTCTTTACCAATATAAGCAGACTGAACATTAAGATAATTTATAGCATTAAAGACTAACAAAATAATATGTGACTAATATTTTAAAGTTGAGTCACCTGTTTATAGAGAGATTGCTAAATAACTGTCAAGTGCATTACATTATGTTCACTACTTTTCCAATAATAGTGACTGTCCTTTTTTATTCATGATCATGTTTATTTACAGTTATTTAAAAAGAATGGAAAAACAAATGCTTACCAAAATGGTGGTAACAATCAAAGAACGATTGGATAAGGAATCTGTAATGTTGGCTGGTTTTCCCTTCTGACTTTCTGTCATATTCAGGCCACTGGCTGGATCCCAAGTTCCAATCTATAAAATAGCATATGCACTTTGTAAATTGTCCATCAGACACCTGGGAGAGAGTACTGCAAGAGAAAGTTAAGACTACTAACACTTATTATTCACCTCTGCTGCATTATCTGCTGTCTTTCAAGTAAAGGCTGCCTGTTTGAAGCATGATTCACTGCTTTGTGAAGTGTGTCCAGTGAAGTGTGACATTAAAGAACAAAATGATCCAGTGCACGTTAGCAGTCAAGAGTCGTGCTTAATTTCCCATTCAAACTTTCATTCACCAAGATAAACCACAGTTGATGATACCTTGATAGTTGGCTAGAAACTCATTAATAGCACATATTATTTATTGTAATGAATCTCTCTCATCCTCTAATTACCAAGATAACATTCCATAATATATGGACAAAGCTAACAGAGCAAAACCTGGGAATCCAGGACAAATTAACAGGTAATAAGTAAAGCTTAAGGGGCACACTGATTGATATTCTGCACAAACTTTAGCAGAGAAAAATCAAACCTACCATTACTATTTCTGGCTTCTAAAAATAAAACAATAGTATTTTTGTGGAATACTCAAAGAAACAGAAATTATAGCAAAATTTCACCAAGTTATCTCACTACAAAACCATCACTTAATACCGGATTATCTGGGTAGACTACCTGTTCAAATTCCTCAGCTTTAGATGGAAAAAGGGTCACTTTTCCAGTCAAGAGTAATGGGACAGTGTTTTAAGCACCTGGATTGCAAGCATATGGTCAAGAATTCAAATCTTAGTGTTAACAAGTGCCAAATGTGATTCTGATAGCTCTGCTATAAGAGCCTGGCAGCTCTGTTTTCTAGAAGAACCATTACTGATGGTGCTTAGGAGACCATACTGGGAGGGGGAGATGGAGCCCTAGAACAGCCCTGTGCAAGGCAACTGCCCTATCCCCAAGAGATAATGCTCGGAAAGCTATGTAACAAAGTCAAAAATACAGGAAAATAATTGAATATAAAGAGAGTTAATAAATATTAATGTTTAATTTCCTATGGTGGATGAGACCCTTGTTAGCATATTTAGTTATACCAGATTAAATATCACATACTATAAAAATTTATATTGGATTTAAAACTTTATTTTGAAGTTAATATTTTTTCTTTTCTTTAGGGAAAACAAATTAGCCAATTTACTAAGTTCATGTGAAAGAGAATTCCTAACTCTTCAGCTCCTTTCCCTTCTATTCTCTTTTAGTGTAAACATTTTTATATATGGTACAACGTTGCAGGTACATGTAGAATCCCATATCTGTATGTCTTCCCATGGTTAAATGTGTTTCCTAACGGTATATCTATGTCATCCAATAGGCATGAATGAATACAAAAATGTCTGATCATAGGGGATTTTTGTGACCTGACTATCAGAGTGTATTAGTTAATTACAATGTGTATTAGATTACAGGTATAATTTTTTCTCTGTAAGTTATTTCCAGTCACAAAATTATCAGGTGTATGTGATCTTAATCAAAAACAAAACAAAACAAAACAAAACACAAAACACAGCACTGTAGCACTGTCCTCCCAATGTCCATCAATTTGCTTGAGCGGGCACCAGTAACATCTCCATTGTGAGACTTGTTACTGTTTTTGGCATATTGAATACACCATGGTGAGCTTGCAAAGCTGTGCAGGCAGGATACTCTTGGTAGCTTGCTGGGCTCTCTGAGAGGGACGGAGGAATCAAACCCAGGTCAGCCACATGCAAGGCAAACGCCCCACCTGCTGTGCTATCGCTCCAGCCCATAACAAAAAAATGCACTGTTTAAATATTATTATATAAGATTTTATTGAGGTATCATTAGTCAATAACATTTATGTTTCAGCTATGCAAATTATAATCCAACATCTGTATATATTTCATCAAGATCACTTCCAAAATGCTAGTTTTTTTTAATAACCACATCATTGATTTTCTATACCCATTTCAACCTGATTCTATTCCTTTCCCCCAGAAAAACCACTAATGTAGTTTCTATATATGAGAGTTTGTTTTTGATTTGGTTTATTTGCCATTAAATACCATTCATATATAGTTTCTTATTTATTTTATCATTCTTAAAGTTAATGTTATCAAGAAAAATAATATAATCACCTAGATAAACAACGGGCTGGAGCAATAGCGCAGCGGTAGGGCATTAGCCTTACACGCAGCCAACATGGCTGACCCGAGTTTGATTCCTCCGCCCCTCTCAGAGAGCCCGGCAAGCTACCAAGAGTATCTTGCCTGCACGGCAGAGCCTGGCAAGCTACCCGTGATGTATTCAATATGCCAGACACAGTAACAACAAAGTCTCCAATGGAGATGTTACTGGGCCTGCTCGAGATAAACAACAAAACTGATCAGGTCTGTACAAGGCATTAAAAAATTGGTGACAATTAGAAAAATTAAATGATAATGTCTTGCAAAGAAAAACACGAGTTCTCAACTCTGACAAAAGAGCATTTTGTTTTTCAAGAATGAATAACATAAACTGACTGGTTTAAATACTACTCTCAACAACACCATTAACATTGCTTTTCCCTATGAAGGCAAAAGAAATCTATGTTCCAATGAAATACGAGTCTCTGTTGCTATCTGGAAGAATTAAATACCCCGAAAGAGAAGAGATAAAACTACTGTGCTTTATGTGTCTAGAAATTTATCAAAGAAATAATTCTGAACTATCTAGAGTATTTCAGATTTAGGTACATTTTGAAGACTGTAAATTCCATTCAGACACTTTTTCCACAGGGAGTTAATGAGTACAGGTTTTCACAGGCAGGAAAAAGAGTGAGAGCAAAAAGATATCTATAGAATTTACTATATTTTTGTTAAAAATATATTCCACACACAAAATTCTTCAAAACATTCTTCAAAATATGCCTTAGCAATAGAATATATATGTTTCTAAATATGAAATGCATACGCATTTCATATTTAATTCTTATTTTTTTGTATAAAAAATAAAATGAGTTTTCAGTAAGAAATGCATTGGGCTTCAAATTGTTGATCCCAGTTTGTTAACTATGAGTAAAAATTCAGGCAGTGATTATTCCAAAAGTAAGATGTCAAAAGTTGAAATTAAGCTTCAATTGAAAGTGAAATCTGACAAACCTAACATTTAACTTGTCTTTAAAATATGGATTATATTGATTAATATATATATTGCAGAAATTAGCAAAATATTTCCTTAAAATTATTTGTGTAGCCAGTTTTAATGTTTTTCATGACAATATTAAAAGCTGATATTATTTTAAAAACATGCTAAAACAAATATACAATTTAATTGTTATATTCCTAATGCTTTTACCTCTAAGCACCAAGTCTGACAAGAGCAATGTTTTGGTCTCATCTTATGTAATAATTTCAGTTTTAATATTTAATGCCTATTTTAATGCTTCTATTTTGACAGGTATTTCTATTCTCCAATATTTGTCTTAATATAAAAATACATCCGAGGGGGGAAAAAAAAAACAAACAGGAATCTTCACTGGTAAAGAACTTACAGAGTGCTACATAAGAATAAGTTTAGTTGTTTTGCTATTTTGTTGGGGGAGGGGTGGAGGATGAATGTAAAAGTTCTTTCAAGAAGAGCTCTGGGACCTGTGGCACCTCCCTGCAAATTTTGGAAACTGGGATTTTGGTTCAGTGCTACAATCTGAGACAATACTGCTTGTGCCCAGCAGAGTCAGGGGCTACCTGAGTTACACCCTAGCAGTCCACAGGGCCTTCCAGGGCCGGGGCCAAGGATACTTGGGAACCACTGGTGCTGGATATTACATAAATGTTGGTCAGATGGAAGCCATGCATTTTAACCCCTATACCAACTCTCCGGCCAAGAAAGATTTTCGTTTAACACGTCCACTTGGAAGCACATATTCTCTGGCACAGTAAGAACTCGTTTGAATAATTAACAAAATGTAACAGTAAAAGACTTACATGTTCTTTTTTTATGTTGCTCCCTGAAAAGTCATGTGACTATCCATAGTGTTCATAAAGAATATTAAGAAAAGCCTACCGTGGGATATTATTTTATTTCATATTTTATTATATATTTTATATTACCAATTTTATACTTTCAGAAATTTAAGCTTTATTAAAAACAGAGAATCTTTTTAATTTTAAGGACTATCTCAACATGGCTTCTAGATGTCCATTTTACAATGAAAATGTTCCACTCTCATGCAGTCATCAACTTAGATGAAACCTATATATAAAATCCTTCTACCTATCTTTGCTTTAATAATAATCCTTTTAAGAACCTTCTAAGGGCTAGAGCAATAGCACAGCAGGTAGGGCATTTGCCTTGCACGTGGCCGACCCTGGTTCCATTCTCAGCATCCCAGCATCCCATATGGTCCCCTGAGCACTGCTGGGGGTAATTCCTGAGTGCAGAGCCAGGAGTAACCCCTGTGCGCCAGGTGTGACCTTTCCCTATGCAAAACACACTCAATTACACATTAAAAAAATTGTAACAACATATTTTCTTGTTAGCTATGAAGCTATTTGTACATTTCCGTATATCAGTTTTGCTTGAACTTTATTATTTTCCCACTTCTTATAAATGACTTTCATAATTCCGTTGACTGAGTGAATATACAAATGAGCATGTATGACAACAGAACTTCAGGAATTTCACAACCTGTAAAACAAATACCAAGGGAAGCCACACAACTACTGCTGCTGCCATCTGCCCAGAACAGTCAAGATTTTATCAAGAACTTGTAGCTTCTTTATTTTTTTGCCATTATCTGAGTACAGGGAAAACAGGAGAGTCAACTAAAATACCCCATATCCAGAGGCATGAAACTGCTCCATTCCCTTTCAGTAACCCAGTAATCTCCAATAAGAACACACCTTTTGCCCACTATAGAGTCCTTACTTTGAATCTTTGCCAAAATCAAATGATGGTGGTGGGCTCCTTATTACAGACTGATTAACTCATTTCGTTCTAATTTAAATAGTCTTCACTTATTTCCACATGATGAACTTATAAGAAAAAAGAGGAAAGTATAAGTAGAATACTTATTTTTGTGCTTTAATGTGTCAGAAATCAGAGTACTGGAAAATACTAAAGTGCACCACAGAGGAGCGATATTTGTCATTGGTGCACTACATATTCCTGTAAGCTCAGATTTCTGGTCTGAGGGTTTTTTTTTTTTTTTTTTTTTTTGCTTTTTGGTTCACACCCGGTGATGCACAGGAGTTACTCCTGGTTCATGCACTCAGGAATTACTCCTGGCGGTGCTCAGGGGGACCATATGGGATGCTGGGAATCAAACCAAGGTCGGCTACGTGCAAGGCAAACGCCCTACCCACTGTGCTATTGCTCCAGCCCCTGGTCTGAGTTTTGTATTTAAAAAAATCCCTTAATCCCCTATAACCTTGACATAAAATTCCATTCTGGTGCCTATTTAACTATTGGATTTAATCGTGCCCATTTTGTGAAAAATAGGGAAAATCTGGAAAAAGCAAAGAAAACAACAAAAAAAATAACTTTCGTTGTTCCCATATTCAGGAAAATAACTTCACACTTGACACCTAATAAAGCATTTTATATGAAGCTTCTCTTGTGACTCTCATAAAAGGGAAAACAGGTGAAAGACAACTAAAATTGTCACATATCCAGAAGCATGAATTTTTATCAATTGGTGAACAAATTTAAAAAAAAAGGTGATCTATTATTCATTTACCATCAATGCAGTTTTTTGTTTCCTTTTTTGGGGGCCATACCCAGTGATGCTCAGGCTTACCTTAGTTCTGGGTCCAGGCATCACACTTAGTCATGCTTAGGGAACCACATGTAGTGTCAGGATCAAACCAGGATCAAACCATCGGCCACACACAAGACAAGCTCTTTAAGCCCTATCTCTCTAGCTTCTCAACACATTTTGCTTTAACAGTTACAGTAAACATGTTAAATGCTTCCAATTACCTTTTCTAAACCTTCTTCCTTGAGGCTGATCACATCCAAATCAAAATCCGTTCTTAAGCCATTGGTTTTGTTGAAAGTTATTCTGCCTGTGAGACCTTCCCAGTGTGCCTAGAAAAAAAAAACAAATAATCTGTAGGTAAACAAGCAGATAATAGGAGATGATTTGGGGGGAACAAAAAGAATAAGCATTCCTTTCACCACATCACACTAATTAACATTACTATAGATTTTTAAATCCATAACTAAATTGTTTCCCCATCCCTCTGACTGTATAGCCAATTTTTGATGTTTTGCATTATTTGACATTTGGCAATTGCTTAAAATATTAGTTGTTTAGGAAATGTTTAAATAATGCAATCATACAACTGTAATGGTCATAACAAAGATCAAAAAAGTTAAAACTATCTGATTGAGCATTTCATAAGAACTACAAATGTAACTTATCATTACTATACTTTCAGGCTTCATGTATGTGTTGAACAATAATTTGTAGAAATTATAAAATAATTTTAGTCCTATACATTTATAAAAAGATAAAATGGGCTGGAGCGATAGCACAGCGGTAGGGCGTTTGCCTTGCACGCAGCCGACTTGGCCGACCTGAGTTACTGTTTTTGGCATATAGAATACTCCATGGGGAGCTTGCCAGGCTCTGCTTTCTGGCCAGGATACTCTTGGTTAGCTTACCAGGCTCCCCAAGATGGGAGGAGGAATCGAACCCGGGTCAGCAGTGTGCAAGGCAAATGCCTTACCTGCTGTGCTATCGCCCCAGCCCAAACCTATATATTATGTATAAAACTCTCTGTAGCTTGGTTTTTAAACCAGAAGTAAATTTACAATGTGAAGCATTAAATGATACTCAATGAGGAAACTCCTCATTGAATATCATTTCACCTATCTGAGAGTTTGTTAAGTATTCAAGAAGAAAAATTCATGAATATTCTTTGCCAAGCTGCTGTAAATTCCTAATTATATTTCTATCTGCATTAAAAATTGAATAATGTATTATACAATGAACTGATTTATTTTAAACCATTAATGAAAATATTATTGGATAATGACACGTGAGTTTTTCATAGCAAAGATTAAAAGTTCACAGTTAAATTTCTTTTAGTCACTCCTGTTGTGGGCAATTGAAAGTTATCTGAAGCTGACATAGGAATTTTCTTCATCATAAGAATAAGAATGTTTGTGTGTGTGTATGTGTGTGTGTGATCTTTATAAATTTTCCTTTTATTCCCTTACTCTGGGCATGGCTGGTTTATAACTATTGTAGACACAATCAGAAATGATATGTGGTGATAAGAATGGCTGCATTATGCAACATGAAGCAAACTTTTCACTTTTATTAATCCATATATTCTGCTGTAGTTAACTACTAATATAATTAAAATAACAAGACATATTTTGGAACTGTTGATCTAAATAACAATCTTTATGAATTACAAATAGATTATAATGTGGTATAGGCCAAATGAGCTTTATGCTAAAAATTTATTGAATTCTTTGTTGCCTAAAATATAAATAAACATCATTTATACAGCTATATCTTCACATAAGTAAAAAGAAATAAAGTTATTTTGAAAGATGAAAATTAACAATGTTACAAACCATAAGTCACAAAGTTTAATCGGTTTATATAATTGTAGATAATTTCAGTGCTATCCATTTATTTATAATTCAGTTTTCTCCTTTATCACACTTTATTTTATAAAATGTTATTTTTGTTGTTGTTGTTCCAGAGAATGCTTAATTAAAAATAAGATAAGGGGCTGGAACATTCCTTGCATGTAACCAACTAAGGGTTCATCACTAGCATCCCATATTTTTCCTAGAGTCCAGTCAGAAGTGATCACTGAACACAGAACCAAAAATAAGCCCTGAGTACCACTAGTCCAAAAAACAAACAAAAAAATAAAAGACAAACCTATTAGGAAAATGGCAGTGTTTTAATTCATTTCATTTGAGGACAAAAGAAATAAGGCAGATACACTCTTGACATACCTCCTTAATTAGGCTCATAAAGCGAGTCCCAAAGCGCCAAGGTTTGTGTCGATTACACTGTAAGGAACTGACTGTCATCTGGGGAAACTGTTGGACGCCCACAGACACCACATGTACAGCATCATACATTAAAGCTGCGTCAGTCTGAAATCAGAGAAAAAAGAAATTCGGATCAATACATGGGAGACCCATGGTAGGCAGTTTTCAATTGGATAGGGGTGAGGAGAAACACTTAGTTAGCGTTTCCTTGTTAAGGCAGAAGCAGTATCACCACAAGCTCTGGTTTCTTCAGTAAAATCTATGATCCTACTACCATAACACTTCCATTTGAACGTTTGACCCATCTTTCCTTTTCTCTTGTGATAATATAATTACTCAGTGTTCTAGTATCTCTACAAAATTGAAAATATTTGAAGACATTATTTTATTTAGTTGTTACCCTTTGGTTACCATATTTCTCTATCTCCCCCTCCCCCCACACATATAATGAATGAAATTACTAACTATTTTGACTAGTTTTGTATTGAAATAAAGACAAACAAGTCAACAGTTTCCCTGCATAATAAGAAAAAAGAGAAATTTGGACAGAGATTCAAATAAAAAACAAATCCTAACAATATAAACCCTGGTCTTTTCAACACAATATTTCAAAAGGTTCAGTTTCAGAAAGGATGCTACAGTTTTGAATCTCAATACGTGTATTAATCCCTTTTCAAGAAACAAAGCTTAATCCCCTGTTTTCTTTTTGCAAAATTTCCATTTGAATAAAAGTTCATTTAGGCTTCTTAAGTAAAAGGAATATGAGTTGTACAGTTCTTGCACCTGCTCAAATGACTGACCACTTTAGAGGTTGATGAAAAAAAAATTGTAAGTCATGACAAACCAGAGGCTAGTGATTCAAGTGCTGTGTTAAATGGACCCTCACATTGTGTTTGACGGATCGATGCCAGGTTCACTACCTAGAGAAAAGGGATAATACTGAAGAGCCTCTAGCAATGTAGAACTTTGGGCCATCTGCTTGGCATGCTTTGGAATAAAAGCATATATTTCCTCTTCTCATTCACACAATTAGTGAGCTGTGAAATGAATTCCAAAATGAATAGGAACCCTGTAGATTATAGCTTTTGCCACAATACAATACAAAATGAGTACACACAGTATCTTTCATGCAAATAGATCCTAAGGAGCTGTACCACATAAAATGGAAGACAGCTAAAGAGCACAATGCAATGACAAAACATAATAATACCATTTTATAGTTCATAAATCTTTGGGGAATATAGTCCAGATTCATAACCTTCATTTTAGAAATACCAACTCACTATTTTTGCACACTCTAATGGTTGCATAGTGAAAACTGAAATAGAGAAATAGACAAGCATACATCATGAGCATGAGAGTTACACTGATATTTGTCTCTGGCCTAAGTTAACATTGGAGAAGCTATTTCAGATACCATGCAGGTGGCCATAAAAATAGCCATTAAGATATAAGACATATTTTAATATTTAAAAAATGATATTATTAGGAAATGTATAAGTAAACATTTTCAGATTCTATCAGTGTGAAGGTAAGAGGTAATTTTATGGTTTGTATATAGAATCCTCAATTGAAATACATGTAATTTGAACCTACTAAGGACTATTTCTGAAATCTTCTTAAAGGGAGATTAGAATAAAGCCTATATAAATTGTTTATTAGAGTAAAAATAAATTAAGAAATACAAAAAAATTCCCAAACAATCACTGTATTACTGTATCACTGTCATCTCATTGATCTTCAATTAATTGAGCAGGCACCGGTAAAATCTCTATTCCTCCCAGCCCTGAGATTTTTAGCAGCCTCTTCTTACTTGCTTTTTTTCCCAACAATTGGAGGCTCTTTCAGGGTTAGGAGCATTAGACCTATTGTTGTTACTGTATTTGGCATATCGAATATGCCACAGTAAGCTAGCCAGGCTCAGCCCATGCAGGTGGGATACTCTTGGTAGGTAGCTTGCTGGGGTCTCTGAGAGGCATAAATGGGTAGGAAGTGTCTTATAAAAGCTGCTGTGCGGTCCGGAAAGTGGCCTGGAGTATGCAGTGCTCGGGCAGTGGAGGTCGGCTGCCGGGGCTGGGGCCCTTGTGGTAGGGAGGGCTCTCATCTACCCCACAGCCTGGTAGGGAGTCCCTCCCAAACAATACAACACTCGAAGTCACAAGATGAGACTTTAAATAATTATAAAAACTTGTATTTTGAAAATAGTCAAGTAGACACTAAATTGAATGTATTATGATGCTAAATATAGTATTCTATATAATTATACTTCTAATATAAACTATTATATATATATCTTTTTTTTTTTTTTTTGCTTTTTGGGTCATAACTGGCAATGCACAGAGGTTACTCCTGGCTCATGAACTCAGGAATTACTCCTGCCAGTGCTTGGGTTTTCCATATGAGATGCTGGGAATCAAACCTGGGTTGGCTGAATGAAAAGTAAATGCCCTAGGTGATGTGCTATCACTCCAGCCCCAATGTAGTATACATTTTTATGAGGGTTTAACTTTAACATTTATCTTATTTAATTCTCATGAATAAAAATACTGTTGTTGTTCTCCTTATACAAACATTTGCACAAGATCAAGGTTCAAATTTAAGTAACTAACCAAAGTCACAATAGCTAAGTATTGAAATGGACCAGACTCAATTAGCTATTCTGTTCCCAGCGAGTATGGGTATTTTATTTGGTTTTGTTATTGCTGTTATTGTTGTTCTGGGGCTACACCTGGCTGTCCTCGGTGCTTCCTCCTGGCTTGCAGTCAGGAACCACTCCTGGAGGTGCTCAAGAGACCATATGTAGTGTCAAGGATCAAACTTGAGTTGCCCACAGGCAAAACAAGAGCCCCAGCCACTATACTATCTCTCTGGCATAATAGCTGTGGTTTTAAATGCAAATATAAAAGGAAGGTAATATTAGTGAAACTATAAAAACACCACCTGAGAAAAATTGTCAAAAGTTTAAAAGTTGCTTATCAATTTATTTCTTGTATTTTAATGCAAAATATATTGAGTTATAACAAAACAACCAAGGGGATTTCTAATCCTGTTCTATATTTTCATTAATTTTGGTTGCTTTCTGGTATTTCTTTTAGACTGTTTTACATGAAAATATGAAGTTTTCATTCATTTTTACTTGACATCCAAATATTCTATTTGCTTTGTTTTACAAAACTGTACACATGTAAATGATACCACCCATAAATGTTCTCAGGAAAAATCTAGAATTTAGTGTTTTATTTTATCAGATACATCCCCAGTGTCCTCAGTAGGGTCCTTGGATACTCCAGTATCCTTGTGGACCATGTGGTACCTGACATTAAACTCAGGACATGATAAGGCTACGCTTATGCTGTACCATTTGTACTATTCCCCCAGCATTGAAAACTAATGTTTTAAATTTTTCTTATTTCCATAGAATTCATATGCTTGAACATTTATCTTATTTTAGTAACATTATTAGGTTACATTCAACAGTATTTTGTAAGTCCACATTATCTCTTAAAATAATTTTCATTTGCACATTTTCCAGTTGGAAATTTACTGAGTTTGAATCAAATAGGAAACTGAAGTACAAAGTTGTTAAGTCACCAGAATACAGTAACAGCACATAAAAGTTAAGATAAACTTGAAATAGACACTCTATTCAGAGTCTAAATCCATCTGTCCAATCTTCCGTTCATACCTTAATTTAACCAAAATACTTTTAATAATTTTGAAATTATTAAATGTAAAAAAATCAATAAGTACTTAGATAAATTCCTCTGTATTGATAAGCAATAAATAATAACAATAAAACTTCACTGTAATATAAAGGAACATAAAGTCACAAACATGAAATGCTACAGTGGATGGTATCAATTCATTAAAGAAATTACTAATGTTAATCAGATGCCCACCCTTCAACATCTCAGCAGATCACCTCAACATCTTAGCTCTCTGCTTGCTTCTCCAACCTTCCCAGTGAGGTTACTATCCCAGTGACATCCCTGGAGCCTTTTTGGAAATAGAGGGGGATTGCATTCTTTTCCAGCTGGTGCCAGCTGCCTCCCCACCCACCCTCTGCAATTGTAGGAGGCTCCCTCCCATACTTCCTGAAGCCATGGCTATGAAACAGCTCTAATCATCACACCTCACACTGAGCATGCTTTTACCTCCTGTCACTGGTTGAAGACAGATAGGGAAGGAAAAGAACCTAATTCTAATCACCTTCAGAGACTCCTACAGAGGCTAACTACAAACATTCACTCTCAGCACAGCAGGATCATAGCAAACATAATGGGGAAGAATCCCACCAAGTTCCATCAGTGAAAAAGGCAAAATGAGAAAATTCCAATTAGAAGTGACAGAAATAAAAAGTATAGTAGGTTATATATTTTTTAAAAAACTCAATAGAAGGTCTGAGTTGCAGAATAATATCTGCTGAGGGAAAGAGAAAGGAGCTCCACAATGTGCTGTAGGAAACTGCTAAAAAACAAGAGAATTGATAAAAAATAACCTAAAAAGAAACAAATAGCACAACAGAGAACTACCAGATGAGTTCAAGAGTAACTGTATAAGAACCACTGGAGTCCCAAAGAACAAGAAGGAAAATTCTATGAAGAACCATGATAAATTAACAAAATCATAGATAAGAATTCCAAGAATTGAGTGTAGGCACCAAGATCCAAGAGACCAGAAAGGTCCCAGCAAAAACAGAAAATACCAAGATACATTATCATCAGAATGATAAATGCCAAAGATAGAGACAGAATATTAAAAGCAACAAGATCAGAAACAGAACTTAAACACAAAGGAAAGGCCATAAGATTCATAGCAGATCTATCAAATGAGATTTTATAAGCCAGAATATAAAGATGGAGTATTGTGAAAACAAACGAACACAAACAACCTCCATGAAATGAACACTTCTCCAAGAATCTTTCCATATAGATTCTTATTCAGATTTGATGGACTGATTCAAAGTTTCATGAACAATCTACAGCTTTGGAATACAAAATCTTAAAATCCAGTTTTGCAGGAAGTGTTAAATTAGTTTCCTTACAAGACAGGAAAAACTTTTTTAACACTTTGCCTTTAATTTTGGCATTCACTAGGTTAACATA